CGCTCGGGCCGGGGGGTCGGGACAGCCGGGGCTGCGCCGCCGCGGCTGCGCCCCGAGAGAACGCGAGCAGCGATCTCTGCTCCCGCTTCACGAACGAGACTTGCACCAAGGGAGGGAAGTTGGGGGTTCGGGGAAACGCCAACATTTCGTCGCAATAAGAAGCCTTCCCGTTTCCAGCGTTTGCGGTTTTTCAAACTAACCCCACTAACAGAACCCCCGTGTGTCTTGTGCTGTTCAGCATCTCAGCGTGATGCATCACCTGACATCTCTCTGAAACTGATAATGCTCTTCCAGTAAGTGTTACATTTGAGGTGGTATTTGATGGATCAGGAGAACTGTATGTCCTTTCTTTGGCAGAACAGCACGGTTTTTTGCACTTCAGTGAAAAGATGATCTTGCTCAGTAGGAACTAATGTCATGTAGTTGAAAAATGACACAGGTTGTATAGTTGAAAAATTTTTTGGAATTTTTTGGATTGGAAAGCTTTTGAGTTTTGAGCTAGAAGAAATGCAAGAAAAATATTACTATTGAGGGAACCTTAGTGGAAACTGTCCCAGCAAGGATTGCAGGTCTAGGTGCACAAAAGTGTAACTCATGTATTAATATTACTGGTTTAAAAAACTATTTACAGAAAATACCTCTTTAGTCACGTTCTGATGGAACCTTTGTTAATAAACTATTGCAGTCCTCATTTTACATCTCCATTAATATTAGGACTAATGAGTGTCAAACACAGGTGTTGAAAGCATGGAGTCTTGATAATGACATTACTTGGGGTTTAGAAATTTTTTTTTTAGTTAGGCCTTTTAAGTTGTTATGCTTTGAATTTAGAATTTGCGGTACAAGACTTCTGCAAGAAGTAAAAATCTGTAAAATCCCATGGTTTTGTACTCAAAACTGGCTTTTAAATAACTTCTTTTAGGAAGTCGTCCCTGAATTTGGCAGCTGCACTTTGATATAAAAGTGCACTTTTTATAATTCTGATATGAATTGCTTCTTTGGGTCCAAAAGATCCACAAATAAAATTACTGGGGAAAGGATTCTGATCCTGACAGGGCTTGAAGGCAGTCAGTGCCATTCACTGCTAGGGCCTCAGACTGGGATCATTAGCTGCAGGTGCATGTCTGGATAATTTTGACAGTGGCCTTTAAGTGTGCTACTCTGCTATCGGTAGGAACAGTATGGATTGCATGAATTTTATTGTCCTCTCCAAATAGCTCTGAGCATGTTGTGTGTATTTGAACAGCATGTGGCCAGACTGTGCACTTGTACCTCTAAATGTGCACTTGGCCTGAGCAGGTTCTCTCTGGCAGGGGAGGCATTTCTGCAGGGCCCCTCAGGGATCAGTGTCCCGCTGCTCTGCTCATCCCCTGGACACATCTGTTGTGCCCACTCTTCATGAGTCTTTGAAATAACCACAGGCATCAAAAATCATGTTAGCTTTAATAATATATTTTGTGTTCAGGGCCTCTTATTTAAGTATGTGTATATTTATTTTGTAAGACAGTAAAAACAGGAAATTGGCAAATCTGCTGCTGCAGAAAGGCTGATGGGAGGGTAACAGGCCAGTAAGATTCAAAGTGTGAGTTCAGACAGTGCAAGAGATGATGGCTGCCAGTTTTCTGAGTAATAATTAATAGTTCAGGTTTTCTCTTTTTTTTTAAATTTTGTTTTTTTAAAAATTTTTACACCATTTCTTCATGAGAAAACTAAGATTTTAGCATTTAGATAAGATGTTTTTATCTGTAGCTTTTCTTAGTGATGATGCTGGCTGTGAACAGGCTGCTCATCTTTCATAGCTAGGCTGGAGGTTCCATCGCAGGCAATTTGCACTTCTTGAGGCCATGTTTTTCAATTGTCACCTGAGGTGCACTGACTGATAAAGTAGTGCTGCTGAGATAATTGGAGGGCCCCAAAGCAAGCTGTAACCACTTCAACAACCTCAACAGAGCTATTTAAATTAAAATGCAGTTAGATTTGGAGTGCACATAAACAATGTGTATTTTACAAATGACAGCGTAGGAGCCAAGTGTTTTTGAGGAGTGTGAGGGAAAAGAAAACAAGCCTATTCTGATATTCAAAAGCAGTTAGCACTTCTCAGCTAATTTAAATTGAGTCTAAAATTTTACATGTACCATTCCAGTACAGTCTGGAATCATTCTCGGTATGTATCAGACAGGACAGGAACTTATTGTCAAATATAGTCTGGTTTTGCAGCAAAAGGATATTTTCCATCAAACTAATTTGCCTCTATTTGAGTCTGTTAGATTTGGCAATTGAAACCAATGATGCATTAATTTTAAAAATAATGATTGACAGTGGCAAATAACCTTGCTAGGATTAAACTTCAATCTGCCTTTCAGATTGCCTTGCACTTGTTCCTTCTGTCTTTTGGGACTAGAAAATTCCATTAATTGTAAATAGAGTAATTGTGCAAAGATCAATAAATGTGCAGCTCTGGGTAAATGGTTCATAAATTATTACACATTGCACAGCCCTGAAATAGTGACCCTTATTTTCTGGCTATAAACATTAAACTTTCCCATAGAGAGTTGAGGAACTTCCAGAGCTCATGGTCATAATATTTTTATTTCTGCTATTTGTTTTGATGAGTTGCAAAATGTTTTAGTGTTGACTCTCCTTATGCAGGACATGTAATGTAAATGTTTCCCCAGCCAAGGACTGTGTATTTTGTAAAGATGACTCCTCTATTGGCAAATTTTAGTCTACTCTAGATTAAAAGCATCTTTATGAATGTGTCTTCCAGCTTGGTTTAATAGTCTTGTCTTTTTGCTTGAATTATTTTGGCTGGATGAAGGTCCATTTCACATTTGCACATCTTGGTTATTCAAAGATAAGAAATTGCTTACTTGGAACACAGGTCATCTTTCGCCTTGGATATGCTACATTAGAAAAGTTTCCATCACTTAATACAAATATAAAATAAAATTGAATGTGTTTTTTATTGGCTGATATTGGATTTTAATACCTTCTACTGATAGAGTCCATGCATGGACAGCCACATGTGTTCCAGCAATGTATGAAATTTAATGGCTAAGTGATGTATGGAGTTGTCTGCCCAATATTTTGTTCATATTTTCAGTAAGGATTAAACTGAGGTTTATTGAGCAGAGTCCTATGAGTGAAACAGTGCCCAAAGAGATGGATGGTGTCACAGTGTTAAAGCATTCTGAATAGCTTATTCTAATAAGCACAGAGGGCCCAGTTGTATCTTTGGTTTAGGAATTATTTCTGTAGGTCAAGTGAACAGATACTTTTATGAAATACATTGTTTTCAACTTTAATTTCTTTGCAATATTAGGTCCGAGTGATGGTGGATTTGTGTAACAGCACAAAAGGAATATGCTTAACAGGTATGTTTGTTGCCTTGAGCATTACACTTATGTTACCTCCAGGAACACAAAATCAGTGTTTTCAAAGAACCTGATGTCAATAACTATGTCAAAAAACTGCTATTTAGCAGAATTTTAAAAAATATTTGGGAACAAAGGGTACATCTGTACCCTCTTAATAGAAATGCTGGAATTTAAGGAGCTCAGTTGATGCTATTTGGGGCCACTTCTCTTTCATGTAATTTTCATAAGCAAATCTTTTAGACTTGTATGTTTAAAATGCCAGTTGAGGTTTAGTCATAATATTTTTGTGTATGTCACACTTCAGGCCTAGCACAGGAGGAACATGCAGGGGGTAGAAACTTGCTGCCATTGTTTCAGCTGCAGTGGGGCAGTGGCACTTAGTGAACTCGTGTTCCTCAGCTGCAGGATGTCTCACACATCACCAGTGAGGACCTGGAGCTGCTGATGGCTGAGTCACGAGAAGGTGTGAAAAGTTTTGTGGGCTTGGGTGAAGAGTGTCTGGTAGCAGCAAATTTAAGAGCTATGGTCCAGTTTTGAGGTCTGCCACACAATGAGTTATGTTCCTTTTGGAAATGAGAAGCTTAGAAAGGAGCTGGTTTTTATGAGTTAAAGAAAATGCTTCACTTGCTGTCTGATTTGAATTTGCAAATGGCAATAAGGTCCATTTGACTCAACTGGTTAAACATAAATGAGAATTACCATTCTACACACAGATGTTAAATATTTCTTAAGTTGTACATCAGTTCTGACTGCAACAGTGGCTGAACCACAGACAATCTAAGTTTTGGTTTTTTGAGCTTCAGACTTGTGAACTCATGTTATTTGGTGCCTTTTGCACCTTTTTCTCTCTTAGCACCATTAAAGGAGTGGCTTTCTCTGCTGTACACCTCAGTGACATTTATTGCTTTTCAAGCACCTTTCTTATGTAGCTTACACTTGTACAAGGAGCCTCAGCTTTAGGGATGAGGGAGTAATTCAATGTAATAATGGATATAACATAGTGTGGAAGAAATGGCATTTACTGAGAAACTGGCAGAAAGATGTTAGCTGATATTACTGCCTGTACTGATTAAAAGAGATGATTCCTATTGTGGTATTGTAAAATGGTTTTCACTTTACTCATAATGCTTTGTAATTAATGCTGAAAATTGTCATCTTTAGGGAAATCTAGTAATTACTGTTATTTTCTGTTGTAAAAAGTTTGGTTGAAATAAGACAGTACTTTGGCTGGATAAAAATGTTCTTAGAGTTAATTTGGTTCTTTAATTGCAGCTGTCACCTTTGTATTCTCCAAGTAGTTCTCCATTTAAAAATTTTTTTAATGAGTTTTGGGGATCACAGATAATAAATCACAAACATGTCCTGGTTAATCTTTCTTTGTTCTTGCCTGCTATGCTTGCTTCTCTTTAGGGCCCTACATCTGAGCTAGGAGAGAGACAGATTTTTCTGTATTACAAGTTGCTGAATGACTGAAGCAAGTCCAATTTCTAAATGTACCAACCAGTTTCTGTGGGAAGTTCAATCCAGACTGGAGAGCTATCACATGTGAAAAGCCTGACTGTTGATAGGAATGACAAGACTTTTTTTTGTCATATTTAAATAGTCTGAGTCCTGAACTGCAATGAAATATCAATGCAATGAAAAACACAGAGAAGTGGCATGTATTTTTAATCTGTATTTCCAACAGGATTTTTAATTGTGATATTCATCAGTACTCTAAAGCCAATATTCTTCCACTAGAACAGCTTTTTGGAGAACACTTACATAAAGGAAATTTGACTGTGTCTTGCATCCATGGCTTTGTGAAGGCACCAAAGCCTGTGACAGTGAGGCTGCATTGCAGAGGTTGTTGCCAAACCTTTATCAATTGCAATTTGAAAAAAGCAAAACCTGTATACGTAAATGTGTTACTCTTCTGGTAAGTCTCAGTTACTCCTAATGCTCAGCTAGTTATTTATAATACAAAGCAGTTAGATAGATATTCATTTTGAAATTTGAAAAATTTTCTTTTACTGTTCTGATCTAGTGCTGATCAATTCAGTATGGAAGTACTTTGTTTTCTTGCTAGGTTAAATTAACAATTTCTTCTTTCTTGTTTTTTGTTTTTCTTGTTTTTTTTCCTCTCTTGCTCTAGGCCCCCCAGGACCCCCAGGTAAGACACTTGGACAATTGCAGTAACATTTGGGAGTAATCAAAACAGTTACTGGTACAAAATACTGAAATATAGAAAGGTATCTTTCACAAAATTGTCTTCCTTTGCTAATTAGATTAAGGGAGGGTTGAATGACTGCCTGCCTTTCTAATGCTTGTATTTAAGTCATGCCCCTTTGAGAGAGGGGAGGTTTTACACATTTTAATTTTCTAGTGGAGGCAGTAGAACATTTGATCAAAGCCAAATTATGATGTTTAAGAATATTAACCTCCAAGGAAATGGATATTATAATTTAACAGTAAAACTATCTTTTTAAAATAACACTGGTTACTGATTACACCCTCCCACCTCCCCCATGACTTTTCTTCCTCTCTTGTTTAATTGTTCTCAGTTCTCACTCAGGTGGTTGCAAGGCTGTGTTATGGTTACTTGTTTTCTTTCTGCACTGCTTAACCTGTGGGTCTGCTTGGAGTAATTCTCTGTATCAGAAAAGTATGAGTTATGTTTTGCTGGGGTTTAAATATATATATCTAAACATGCTGCATGTTTAGATATATATATATACTAAATATAGTAGATTTCAGGGTAACTTGCATTCAACAGTGCAAAATCAGTTGTGCTGTTTGGTTTGATCAGGGCCTCCTGGGCTTGATGGACTGCCTGGCTACAATGGATCAGATGGAATTCCAGGAACTCCAGGACAAAAGGGAGAACCAGGAGTAAATGGAAAAAGAGGAAAAATAGGTACAGCTTCCCTCCATATTAGGTTGCAATGCATCTTTTAAATCCAAAGAAGTTACAGCTATCCAGCTAAATTCAGGTGAAAAATATAACTAGAGTGAATATGGTTTGTAGTAAAAATATGTATTAATGGGTGCTTAATACTGGAGCAGTGCTCTTGATACTGAAATGGTTTTTATTTCTAGGTTTGCCAGGACCAAAAGGTGATCAAGGACAGAAAGGAGAACCAGGAGAAATGGGTTTGCCTGGCAAGGATGGTATGCCAGGAGGAAAAGGTGCAAGAGGAGCCAAGGGAGAAAAGGGGGATGCAAACAATGATGTGATATTAGAAGGTAAGGAAAAGTGCTCTTGGGAGTTCTCTTGCAACAGTGTACTTGACAGAAAAATATATGCTCTGCTCTGCTTCTGAAGTATGAATGTGATCTGCAAAGGCAGGACCAACCTGTATAAATATGGTTTATATATATAGTCTGAGTATTGCTATGCCCAGGAGATTGTTTGCAATGCAAATCTTCACAAAAACCTTTCTGCTTGGCCTTTGGGTTGAGGTGTATGTGAATTTCACCCTTTCCATAATGCTTTCATACATTTGACTTCCTCCTGCTCTTTATTTCAGTGTAGTTTTATATTTCTATTAGAAAATGAGGGCAGATTTCCACTCATGAGTACTTGAAGTAGCCAAATATAAGCTGTGTAAAATTACAGCAGTGTAGCATCTGAAATTGTGACTCTCTAATGGGCCTGTAATCCAGACAGATAAAATGTATTGATGTCCTAGTCCTTGTGAAGCTCTGTCTGGTTCACCTTCTAGCAAACAGCGTTTCAGAGAGTTTATTGCACCATATTCTGTACTCGGGAACCTCTTAAAGAGAGTGGATGTCCTGTGGACATGTACAGTTCTCTGCATGTTTCTGTTGCCAGGGGAAGGGCTGTGTCCTGACACTGTCCTTTGTACACAGGTGCAAAAGGTGAGCCTGGACCACCTGGGCCCCCTGGACCTCCTGGACCCCCAGGGCCTCCAGGTAAACGTAAAGGTAAAGCCAAAGTGGAGCTTCAGGAGAACATCTACAGCAGCAAAAACACGGGTTAGTGCTTTCCAGTGTTCCTTTCCAGATTATGAACACGTTCAAGGTTAAACCATTGCTTCAAGGCTCACAGAACAGAAAGCATGAGTTTAGTTTTTCTGGCATCACTAAAACTGCAGAGGCTTAAAGCTGAATATGTGCTCAGGTGCTTTGCTGAAATATGATCTGAATAACGCAGCAGTTTACCTTCATGTTAGTCTTTTGTGTTTTGCTAATGCTCAGGCAAAGGATTTACAAATGATGTTTTTTATTAGATGGGATACATTTGGAAAGTAAGAGAAATGCAGTTGAAATTTTTGGCTTTTCAATAATGAATTTTTAATTTTAGATGTAAATGTAAACCCCTGATTCCAGACATTGAAGTGTCAGAACAGAGCCCAAAGAGCCTCCTTACAATGGACAGGAGAGAGCTGGAGCAGAAATTTCATCCTATTTGAAATTCAGAAATGCATGAACTGTTGTATGAGATAATTGGGCCATTTGCTCAGGTGGCCTCTTTTCAAGTGTTGAAACAAACTGAAATGCTTTGAGGATAAGCTCTCTGATGGATTCTAAATCGCAGTGTGAAAATGGGAGTTACACTCAAATAACTCTGCAAAGATGACATCTTCCTCAATGAGCTTTTATGTTTTATGACTCAGCAAACCATGAGATCTTATTACCAAAATTCAATGAATAATCCAGATTTTGTAATTAGATATTCATCTCTCTTTCAAGGAAACAGAATACATATGCTGAATTACAACTGTAATTAACTTATTGCATAAGAATACAAAGCTTGGCTTTTTCAAATTAAATTTTTGAATCTGGTGAAACTTAATTTCTTCAAGAGATGAGAATAATTAGTTGGAAGTGCAGGTATATTTTTTCTCTCTGGTACTGTTAGTGAATTCTGAAATAAACAAAATATCTTTGCTCCATCCTTCCCCAACAGACCAAATGAATAGTTTTAATGACTTTTAAACTCCATTAACTCTCAACCAGAATATTTTATGATAGAAATCAGCAGGATATTAATCTTGGTTTTTGATGGAAAGAAAATAGTGAAAGATTCCCATAAGAATCTCTGATTGAAAACTGTCTCTTTAATTTTAGTTGCTTTCTAATCTATGCAGCTGGAAGTATTGCAAATATTCTCAAAGGCAAATAGTGCCCTCAGCTCTGCTACAAACAGTGACCTGGCCCTTGGCTATCCTATAGTTTTAGATAAACTGCTGTACAGGCACCTGCTCCTTCAGCCAACTGCATCTATTCAACTCAGCCTTAGAAAAATCAACTTGTACGTTGCAGTTTATATTTTCTGTTGAGTGATTTTGTTTTATGAAATATTCTGGAAATATTTTAGGATCAGAAGCTGGAAGGGAATCTCGAGGGACTGGTAAACTCTAGCTGTAGGCATTCAGCTTACCATGGCTGGGTGGACTGTTTGTGCCTTACTTGGAGGTACACTGTGCAAACTTTCAATGTCATCTCACCAAATGCCCTAGATAATGGATGGGAGAAATACATGTTGTTCTTTCTCCATCTTGGAGTAGTTTTCTTCTGCATGAACAAAAGGAGGATATGACCTAAAGGAGAAAACAACAGTGCAGTATTATCTGTTCTTTCTTTCCTGAATGTCATGGTACCCTTTAAGCATTGCTTTACATTTTTTTCCCATTTTTAACTATCTTTGTCACTTAAACTTCATCACAGACTTATATATTAGAAATATATTAGAAGGCAACAATGAAAATGAAAGTCTAAAAAATTTGCAGTGTGTCAAGCAGTGTGAAATGCTGGAGATAAAAGTTTAGAATGGAATTAGAAAACAAGGCTACAATGAAACCAGCAAAAAGCTGAGAACTTTCCTCCATGGTTATTCATTCTAAGCAAACTGAAATGCATCACATTTTTTTAAGGGCAGAACAGATACTTGGCTTTATAGAAAAGGGTCCATAAATAATTTAATTCAGGCATTGTTTTAACAGTGAATGACAAGAGAAAATCCAGCCAGTTACTCGTTATATTGTTGTGGGGTGGGGAAAAATATTTCCAGCTGTTTGATTCAAATGTGAACCAGCTCTATGTGTATAATATAAAGTGTCATTACCCTTAGTATTTCATCCTGCTTCTTCAGTGTGTGGATGTCAACCTCATGCATTATGTACTCAGTGCATGTGTGAGTGCTTTATTGCTGTCTTGGGCATTAACAACACGAGCAGAACATTCTGTGTTACCTGCAGGATGCAGCCTCTCTGCTGCTCTCTGGGGATTTGTGCATGAAGGTTTTCACTTTAACAACTACTCCTTCCCAAGAAAATGCTTTTGGTCTTACTATTAAATCAGCCATTTCCAGCTACCTCAGCTCATAAAAAAGGCAACACTCTCTTTCTAAGTGGCTACTCAGAAATTCACAGCTCAGGAACTAAATCTATTGATTTAATTAGTTACTCCTCAAAGTTGACTGTCAGCCTGAACACTTCATTTCCTTAGCAGAAGTGAGAGCAAGTATTTTCTTATCTCTTTTTTTTGACCACACCAACCTAAACATTTGTTTTTCCAGATGAAGCAAAATCCCAGCTGTCATTCCTTTATTTTAGTGGAGTCACTGATGTGCCAATCTGTCATGTCAAAGAGGGTAAAACGTGCCATTCTTCTCTTTCTCCCTCCACCCTAGGTGAGACAGGTGCTGTACCAAATGATGATACCCTCGCTGGAAAGACTGAAGACAGAATCCCAGGTCCTTCAAAAAAAGCTGGTAACCTGCTACAAAGTGTGACTCAAGTACTCCTTTCTCTCTTAGTGTCACAGATCATGGACATGTGCTTTTTTCCCACTAGAATGTGTCATAACGTCTGTAGGAAGTCCTGTTCACTTTGTCAATGTACAGCAAACGTTTGGAACTTGGATGAGGGAACCTGCAAACATAAGTGATGAAAGGATTTGGCTCACCATGCATTTTTCAGGTATTTTTAGTAGTAGTCACTGACCAAAAGTCTGTGGTGATCCTGACACTGCTTCCTTAATCCCTTCAGCCTAAACTCCTAAGAATGATGAGCTTTTACTGATCTTTTTCAGAACATTTTCCATATTACCTGTGTAACACTTGACTATACATATGATTGTAGGCATTTGTAGTATCTTTAGACATTTTCAGAGTCAACAGAAGATTTTGAAAATAGCTTGATGTTTGGATTTTTATTTTTTTTTTACCAAATCCAAGTTTAAATGTCTATTGTTTGTGGCTTTTTATCCTTTTCTTTCCAGAGTTTCCATTTCCTGTGGCTTTACTTCCCTAAATTACAGCTCAGAGTTTTGCCTTTTCATTTAGCTAGGCATGCAAATGAGACAAAAGCTGTATGAGCTACATTTAGAGCAGGAAAATGTCCAGGACCTAAGTGGGAAAAGGAAATATTTCTGCATACACATCAACTGTGTTCAGAGTGAGGGCCCATTGGGTCTGTGGGAAGCAGGCTCTTGATCATCTTTTCTATAGATATTTTTTGTGTGTCTCTGGATTTTTTTTTCACATTCCAGCAAGTTGAATCTTTTGAAAACACACATACAATTGTTTGTCAGATGATATTCCTTTTTTTCAGCATGTTATCCCCTTTGTTTAGGAAACTATATAAAAGAATATGAAAATTCCAATGCCTTGCTGAATGACAGCTACAGGATCATTAACATCACAGGATTCTTCTATGGATGTGGTCACGCAGTACAAAACAATCATCTCTACTATCAGAAGGGAGGAACCAATGTCATTCTCAAGTAAGTCAAAGATAGTTGGTCTAAGACAAGTGAACTTGTGAAAGGAGTGATAGGTTAGAGTGCCAGAGCTGAACCTCCAAAAAGCAGACAATTCTCCTTGTAGCATTTTGTGTTTATTTTGGTCCTACCTAAATAGGAAGAATGGAGGAATGTTTCAGAGCTCTTTCCAGAGCAGAACAACTCATTCCTTCCAATCTGCATGCAATAGAGCAATAGGTCTCCAGGGTGAACAAGATGCCATGTGCAGAGAGGACAACAGATTCTCCTCTTGGCTATCCTGGGATCCAACAGGTTCTATCCAACATTACATTGCTGCAGGTGTTCTTCAGCTTGGATTCTTTGCTGTGTTCATAATCACAGCAAGAAATGAAGACTAAGGAATTTGGGTACCAGAAGAAAGGATTAGATTTAGAAGAATAAGCTGTGCATCTACCTGCATCTGAGTCAGAAGTGGTTCAGCTGCAGTGTAGGAGGTGTAGGTGGGTGGTTATGTGGCCCACTCATGAAACTTGGCTTTGCAGAGCCCTTGCTGTGCTCTGCTCTGGCTGGCAGCAGCAGGGAATGCACAGAGGGATGCACCAAGGCACCTGCTGAGGACAGGGCGACCTGGAGAACTGCACATTCCACTGGGGAGGAGTGGCTCCAGAGTTTGATTTCCTCATAATAAGAAGTTTCTACTACTTTCCCGATATATTTCCCTGAACTGGAACTGGGAATTACATCTCTTGTTTCAGTTTCTGCTGAGGACAGAGACAAACAATACAAATCAACCCCAAAATCTCACCTTGTGGAAAGAGCCAAAGACAGTCCAAGGGCAAGTGAAAGATTGCTTGTGCTTTCATGTTCTTACACGACTCTGATGTCTGAGCCAAGAACATTTACTATACTTTGATGTCTATTCCCAAGCAGGTGTGAGTGCTGCCTTCCTATATTCATGTGGATGCCAAGGAATGTGAGCAAGCTGCAAGGATTCTATAATATTTATTCTGCCAAGCACGAGCTCCCTTTTTTGCAGCCTCCTTTAAACATCTTTCAGCTATTTCTCTGGTGGTCTGTAAAAGACCATCATTGTCTAAGCAATACACTGTGATAGGGCAGAGATTCCTCCCCTTTGCTTGCATACCATTAATCAGGAAATGCTTTCACATACAGATGAACACAAACTATCTGTGTAATTTTCAAATCCTCTCAAGGAGCTGCTGAGAAATGGCCTTTCTGTTCTGTTCTTCACTCTGAGATTACTTACCTTCAGCACAGACAGAATGCACTATGAATTTTGTGACAGTGAAGTCCTTGAATTTGGGCTCCATAAAAACTTCTGGGAGTTGTTGTATAAATGGAAATGTTGTATTTTAATGGAAAGCATAGGTGAGGATATGGTTATTCCATTTTGCAAATGTTGAAAAAAACATTCAAAAGGAATTTCTCATCATATTTAAAAGCTGGTAAAACTAGATTTGTCTGACCCTTGGCAGATTTTCTCATGATGGTCAGATCCCCAACATCATGATAGTTTCATTCTTTTTACTTTGTTTCATAACATGCTTTACTATCTTTGTTATTTTTTATTGACTTTGTTGATATTAGTGACCAGAAATGTGTTTGTATAGCTTGAGTTCTGGTGTTTGATGAAACTATTACACTATATCTTATAATTTACCCCAAGATGTCAGAAGATTAAAGAATTTCAGAACCATTTGGAATTCCAGACTGGATTGTCCCTGACTGGGGGAGCCCAAGAGAACCTGGGAATGAAACCTCACTTTTTTTCTCCCTTCAGGATTTTCACACATAACAGTAAAAGATAGGGTGTGGTGTGCTGCAGAATTTGTGTATTTCTAATGAATTTTGAGATGCTTTTTATCTTGTTGGCTTTTTATAGAAAAGAATCCTGAAAAAAAAAAATCTACATTTCTGAGTGACTTGTCCTGTTAAGGGCTGTCCTTCCAGCCCTTGCATGAGGTTATTTACACATGTGAAGCAATTAACAATATTAACAAGGTGGACACATGTATTTCTCAAATCTCCTCCAGCCTTTAACTGTTTTGATTTATTGCACGTATGGGCTGCTGGAATATGGAGTTACTGCAGATGTGAGTCCTACAAAAGCTGAGGGAAATTATCTAAGTTGGTTAGGATGATTTTTCCAATATATGCTATCAATGCTGCTTAAACATAAAAATTATTCTTCCAGCATTGTGTATTCCTGGATCTGAACTGTTCCTGTGATCAAGCCTGTCTTTTCAGAAAATATACTTGCAAGTATAGCAGATTTCTTTATTAAGTAGCATTTTTTCTTCCTCTATTTGAAGCATGGAGCTATACAGTGAGAGAAAAGTCAGACACTGAAATGTGCTTCTTTGCAGAGGGCATTATTTAAAAAGATAAAGCCACGCTCTCCCTGCTTTTGCTGAAGCCCAGTGGTATTGGGTAATTAAATACTGACAGCAGATGTGTCTTGGGAGGAGCTGATTACCCTCCTAAACCAGTAGAGGAACATGATTTAGCTGCTCACTGCTCCTGCCTTCAGATTATCAACCTATTAAGGAATTTCAAGGAATAAAAACAATTTTATACATCAGGCATAGAAGTATTCAGGCTGTCCCATTGAGGCCAGCGTAAGGTCACAATTTTGGCTCTGCAAAAGTAGAATTTTTATTCCTTTGATGTCTACTTGAGTAAATCACCACATTATCTGAACTGTTTTCATCAGAGGAGTTCTAAGTCTAGGTGAAGCTGCCCAGAATTCCTGCAGCTTTGCTCAATCACATTTTCTCTCTTTAGCTCCCACCTACTCCAAAGCAAACTTTTGTATAGATTCCATTTCCCAATTTTGGGCCTTCCCCTGGTATCCAGTTCTTTTTCATACCCATTCCTTTTAGTTGCTTCTTTCATCCTAGTGATAATACAACTCATAGACTAAATAAAGTGAAACTTACCAAAACAATTCCATGCTCTTGTGCGCCTTTCAGATTGGTTATTATTTTCTAATTTTCTCCTGGGGTTTTGGAAGGTTCTTTGAGAACTTAATCTTAAAAGACATCAGAATGGTCCTTGAACAAGTATTTTCAACACCACCTTTATCAGTGATTCACCACCCTGTGTGTGTGAGGTGAGCTCTGATCCCTCATAATGAATCCTTGCTGTATCTCATTTCAGATTTGGGCTCGATAAAGCCTCGCTGGGCACCCTGCCCATCAAAAATGCCTTACACCACGGCCGGAACTACCTCTTCTCTAACTCCAAGACGTATTTCAACATAGCAGTGGATGAGAAGGGTCTTTGGATTATATATGCCTCAAGCACTGATGAAAATATAATGGTAGCACACGTTGATGAAGAAACGTTCTTAGTCCTTCGGCACATCAATACCACCTATCCTAAGTCCAAGGCTGGTAACGCGTTCATAGCGTGTGGCATTCTCTATGTTACTGACACTAAGGACATGGTAGTCAGTTTTGCTTTTGATTTACTGAAAGAGAAGCAGATTGATGCAAGGTTTGAGTTACGGTCTTCACAGTCTGTTCTTGCTATGCTTTCGTACAGCCTGCGAGACAAGAATTTGTACACGTGGGAGAATGGCAGTTTAATGGTATACCCAGTCCATTTTGGCAGATGAATATATTTTCATATGCCACCTTTAACTAAAGGATATTTAAAGCTCTGTGATATATACATGGGGGTCTCTTCACTTGGTATCATTTTCTGCTTCCTGATGATGGTTTGTGAGTGTGTATAAAAGGGAGATCAGGTGCCTTTGTAAAGACACACTTCGATTACATAGGCCATCCTCATCTTTTTAAAAAAATGTTGTTCACTATTATAGCTGGCACACAGCATAGACATACTTTTGTTTTCCCCCTGTTACTCAGCAGAGACTATTTGTAACTTTTATTTACATTCCTCTTCTCTACAATAATTTCCTAGTCAGTGATGATATTCTAATTTAAACATCTAAATAATGAACTTTCGTGTACAAATACCTTTGTCACTTTCATTTAATTTCCATGGACTCTCTGTGACCATCTTTTCTGGACAAAGATTTAAAGCTGTTAAAAATAATGGGAATGGAAATACTTGTTTAAATAGGAAAAAAAAAAGCAAAAAGTTTAAATTTGTTAAGTCAAATCAAGTGTTAATAATCAAAAGCAAAATCCAGCTAAAGTACAAGGAAAATGGGAATAATGACATTAAATACTGAACAAACATTATTTCTTAAATGGAGAGTTGGATGAAAAGTAGCAAGGTTTAAAATTAAAGACGTAACCTTTATGATTAAAATTTCATTTTTAACAGTATTTGAGTTTCTTGTGTTGCTGCAGACCCTTCTTTGGCTTTCACTGCCATGCAAACTATACCAGTATAACTTGCTTGTAACTATTTAATTACAGTAAGGCATAATTCTAAAATAAAATGTCTCCACATTCATCCAGACAAATGAAATTATAAAATGAAGGATATACTTTTTTTGCTGCTGTTTTTAGAATCATCATACTGCTTAGTGATTTAATTTGTTGTTAACCATAAGTCAGAGACTCTCAATTCACATTCAAATTTTTGAGAGTTAGAGGTGAGAAATAATAGGAACTTTTTGATTTGAATTTTGTTCTGGTATTTCAGATTTCTAAATTTAACATTGGAACAAAAATCTCTACTGTTCTTTTATGTATATAGATTCAAAATCATGCTCTTGGAAAACCTCTACCTGAATTTCTAAGCTGCCTGTGCCTATTGCTAAAGTTCATGGAGTGCACCCAAATATTTAGAGGCAGAGTGTTATTTAAATCCTGAACTGCACTGAGCTGTTTAATACCTGTGTGATCCTGGCCCTGTCAAATGGATTAATGAATTTGGGAAAGTCTGTGCCTGCAGAACCTTGTCTAGCAAATGTGCTGGAACAATTCCTCTCCTGCAGCTAAGCTCCAGTGTGTGACACAGGGATGGCAGGGCCCTTCCCAGGATACTTGCTGTTATCACTAAGGCCTTGCATGCTAAGGGAGAGATATGCAGAAGGGAATAAAAAAATCATAATTAATACTTTGAACTAGTATAGACATCAAAACTCACAGACTAACAGTTCTATCTATACCTGTATAGAGTGTGACACTTCACACTGCAGAGCTACAGTTCTGTGCAATGCTTGTGACTTTTGTGGGGGTGTGGTGGTTTTGGTTGGTAGTTTTTTTCATATTTGTTTGATTGTGATGTTGTTTCAAAAACTGAATTGTAGTACTAATAAAGCATACATTTTCAGCTAAAATACCCACAAAGTCAGCAATATACTCAGGCAAACACAGTTCAAGTCAGATGTGATATTTTCTAGATAATGTACCCATCTCAAAGCACGGTAAACTTCTGCACAGCGTTGTTGAAACACTTGAATCAACCTCTTGGAGAGGGAAGGCCAGGAAATTCTACCTCTTTTCTTCTTGCAGCTGTGGAACTTAATTCTGTTAACCTTGTACTTCTCAAGAACAGCTGAAAATAAAATGTAAACAGCTAATCTTTTTTCAGTACAGTCTGAGGTCAAGTTAAAGCTAACTCAGGAAGTATTCAGTCAATGTACTGGAGATTTAGATAAATCTGTTTAAATATAAGGAAGAGTTCTAGAATGGGCTGTTCCATGAAATAAAAGTAATTTATTTAACTTACAAAGGGAAAACTAAACAGTGACATTTACCCTTCCTTCTTTTCATACTTTTCCTACTTCACAGGCTGCAATTTAAAATCACCTTTGGAGAAAGGTGCTTTTTATTCTAGTATATCTTAAAATACAACACAGACTTCAAAATTTCATTGGAGGAATAAGACAGTTTGTTAACATTTAAATACACAGACATCCATTCCAGTCCTTGAAGAACTTGTTTTTTGTTTACAACAGAAAAATACATCTGACAACAGTAGCTAGTTATATTACAAGCAAACAATATTGAACTCTGCATAGTTTATACAATATACTCTGGTAATAATTTAATTACCAGTTTTATCCACTATTTACTAGCTGGCCACATAAAGCCTGACATTCATCTGAAATGTGGCATTATATGTTCCATTGTATTCTCTTAACAGCTTCATTTAATGAAGTATTTTCTGGACAAATGATTTTTGAAACTAAAAGCTGACTAGAATGCTGGATGTCTTCACTACAAACATTTAGTGCTTACAATACATTCCTAAAGTAAAGGCAGGTGTTCAATAGAAAACATAGCTCAGAAAGAAAGGAAAATACTGTGCAAATTAAACCCCATCGCATTTAAAAATATGTTGATGTGCAAGTTACAGTATCAACTGTGCAATAATACTAACTGGGAAAAAAAATCTCAGCATAAAATGATACATCTCTCACAGTACGTCCTTGATTGCACATGTTCCACGGCATTTGCATCCATTACACTTTCTGCGGAAATCAAATACACCGAGTACCCTTAATTAAAACTAAACTATTTTACAATGAGAAGTTGTATACATGCTTCATTTAGTGGGAAAAACTGGAATAAAAGTAATCAGAATCACGTCAGAAATGCTTACTGACTTGTAGAGCCACAGTGCTTGTGAAGTGACTGACAACTGTCAGGATCTTTACAACACAAAATGCAGCTTGTGGGTTACTGAGCAATAACCCCCCCACGACCAACAATACTGGGTTGAATTCCTTGCTTTTACAATCCAGTACATGCATTTCCACCCCAGTGATCCTTATGGGCATATTCAAAATATACCTGCTGGAAAAGTGTTGGTTTTCTCCCCATACTACTTAATGCTGCAGTAACTGCTTTGATGGGAAAGTGATATGCACTTTCCACAGCGCATATCACTGTCTTTTTAGCTACTTATAGGGACATTATAGAAACCATGATTAGCTCACAGAATGCTACAGAATGTCAAAAATGCCTGAAGGTACATTGAAAGCATTGGGAAGAACCCTCATTTTCAGCGTGCCATCTGCTCCACAGGAGAAGATACGATTGCCTTGCACAGTCTCAATCTGGGTGACACCAGCACCAATATTTCTGAAAAGGGATTGCTTAGCATGTTCGTTTTTAAATGAATGAATTAAATTGTAGCCAGTCAGTCTCCACACCTGTATCAAAAGAGTGACAAAAGGAGATGAATATTAAAGGATTTGTATTTTCCCCCCTAATGTTTCAGATTCCTGGCTGTTCTAAACTCTTTTCAGCAAAGATAAAGGATTTTTTTGTTGCCTCATTGCAACAATTACTACAAGTCCAAGAGTCTTGAGAGACTCCTGATGCAGTGTAAGACTGCCGTACTGTGGACCAGCTGTGTATTGGGCAGGGTGAAGCTACCTTGTGTTACCTGATCAGAGTCCTCCTCCCAGCTTCCCCCTGTGAAAGCTGCAGAAATGGATAGCATTTTCATCCAAGATGACTACTGTCAGCTTTCCAGCAGCTGGAAATGCTTTCCTGCTAAGGAATGCTGCAGAGACTAAGCTGCACAATTAATAAGCATGCAGAGAGGTAGGAAGCACGGCTGCCTGTTGTGTCCTGAGTAGCAGGAGCCTCATCAAGGCCAGGCCATGAAAGCCCCTGTTAAGCCGTCCTCCAGCTAAAAGAAAAGAAACTGTATTCACCTTCTCTTTACCATGTCATATTTCCTTCCTTTAGTATTCAGGTAAAATGCTCCTTTAAACTGGGACTGTATTTCTGGTTTTGTTTTGTTTTGTTTCATTTGTTTGTTTTCATGTTGGAGTTTGTTTCTTGCTACTCTGACCTCTCAGTAACTGTCTGGGGCTACAGCATCATGAGAAAAAAAATAGAACCTGGTGATACAGAAACTTTACACAATGTTGAAGTTGCTGAGCACCCTCTGTATTACAACAAAATGTCCAACAGCAGAGCCAGAACAATTTTTAGTGAGAGAAAAAACAAAGGTAAGATTTCAGAACTGTGCACTTTGTTTTATCCACTTCAAATCAGCCTCACAACCTTAAAAAGACTATTCTTTAGTGGAGGACAAAACCTACTTGCTTTAGAAGTCTACCAGTATATTTCAGTTTACATTATAAATGTAAAGCAAGCAGGCTGTACATCAAGCGTAGGTTTGGGGTTCTGGGGTTTGTTTTTGTTTTGTTACTGCATTTATCTGGCTATTTACATATGACAGCACACTACTTCAGCCAAACACCCTCCTCCAGAGCCCAGCTCCTCCATCTGTCCTTACCTTCATATTGCCTTCGGCCGAGCCCGTAACAAAATAGTCCTCGGAAGGATCCAGTGCAAGGGCCTTAACAGCTGACTCGTGTGCTTGGAAGGTGAAAAGGATTTGCCTCTGTCTGATGTCAAAGATGCAGATATATCCCTTCCTACCTCCAGAAATGAGCAGTTGATGCTTGGGTGCATACTGAAGTACTGTGGCACCATGGTCATGACAAGTGAAGGCTGATGAAGAAGGATGTCAGAATTTAATAGTAGCTATCAATCTTAAAATGCATTTTTTCTATAAATTGCTACCTGAATATTTTCTAACTTTGCAGACACATTCCTTCATATAGGTAATGTCTCATCAGCTGACAGCTTATTGCTCTGTATAGCTGATCTTGAGCAATCTGGTCTAGTGAAGTGTCCTTGCCCAGGGCAAGGTGAATGGGAAGAGATGATTTTTAAGGACCCTTCCAACCCAAACCATTCTGTGATGTTCTTCCTTCATACTTTTCCATATAGAGCAGATTAACATCATGCTAGAGAACATGGAGAACCAGTCTGGTGCATGCATTAGTGTGCAACAGAAACTTGAACGTGTTCCCCAGTGTAGGGTTTTCCCCTTGCACCAAATGCACATGCAAGCAGTGTTTCCTTAGTCAGAAAAGAAGCAGAGGTTTAATTTTCAGCACAGTACTTACCATGTATAAG